TGTGTGTGTGTGTGTGTGTGTGTGTTCATTCACTCCTGGATCCTACCCTGGAGAATCCTAGTTCATAGGTATGGCTGCAGTGGGGGCCCAGAAGAAACTGCTTTTCAAAAAAAACTCACAAAGGTGATTCTGCATATTAGCCAGTTATGGGACCCACCGTTCTAATCCAATTTACTAGATTACAGACTTCTGATAGGTAGGTTAAACAAACCACTTTTGTATCTTCATCTGCCTAAGACACTTGACTACTCCAACTATAAAAGGTATCCATCTGGAACTGGGAAATGCATGGTCATTTTATAGATTTAGATGTCTAAAAGCCAAAAACTCAGGAAATATTTAATTCCTTCTTTTTGACCACTGATGTTTTAATCCTGGCCTCTCATCCAAATAGCTAGGTTCTTTCCAGTTTGACAAAGAAAGTAATGGCATTTTACTAATTTAAAATGCTTTTTCTAAAGCAAACAAAAATCACACTACAATAGATCTTAAGATTTTTAAACAGAAGTAAAAAGTAATTCTACACAGAAAGCACCACATACTCATCTTTCTAAAAGTTACAGATAGCAAACAAATCTGATGACATCACTTCTTGAAATCAAAATTCATCCCATATATAACTATGATTCAGCCAGCATCATTTTCACTGATTGTCAAGAAGAATCTATACTATTTTCCTTTTTTTTTTTTGGGGGGGGAAGATCAGCCCTGAGTTAACATCCATGCTAATCCTTCTCTTTTTGCTGAGGAAGACCGGCTCTGAGCTAACATCTATTGCTAATCCTCCTCCTTTTTTTCCCCAAAGCCCCACTAGATAGTTGTACGTCATAGCTGCACATCCTTCTAGTTGCTGTATGTGGGACGCGGCCTCAGCATGGCCGGAGAAGCGGTGCGTCGGTGCGCGCCCGGGGTTTCGAACCCGGGCCACCAGTAGTGGAGCACGCGCACCTAACCGCTAAGCCACGGGGCCGGCCCATATTTTTCTTTGTACCTGCCATACTCATCTATAAATCACTAAGGATACCCCTGCCCATTCTCCCTTTCCCCATCACCGGCTCCCAGTCCATACTGTAGTTTCAATGTTTGGTTTAAATCCTTATAAAGGTTATAGATGTTTTTCTTTGCACATACCTATGTGAGTTGATAAAATACAAAGTTTTTTAATAAACAGGATACTTCAGGAGTACCTGTTTTTTCACTCAGCATCATATGGCCATCCTCTATGCCTGTA